CACTAATTCGGAAGTGAAAGTAAAATGCACACGGTGCTTTTAAGCTATTTAAATGCAAAGGAAAGCGAGGAAAAGAGGGAAAATTCAAACAAACAATTGCTTTACGCCAAATTGCCGCTATTTGAAAGTGAAAGTAAAATGCGCAAGCCGCTTCTGCAAGCTATTTAAAAGAGGAAAAGAGGGAACGCCCACCCCCACAGTGATACCGGTATTATCGGTGTTGTCACAAATTTCCTCACCGTCACAACCCTATCGCTTTAACCGTGTAAATACTAGGGGTGGGAGAAAAAAATTGATCCAGCGATGCATCGCGATTCTCTCTCTCCAATGATTCTGGATCGATTCTGAGAATTTCAGAATCAATTCTGAGCTTAGTTTTTAACCAGATGCACGATGACGTGGAGTTTGCTTTAGAAACACCCGTATTCTGCTTGCTTCCAATTCCTCACACACATACACCACTCGAACCTTCCGTAAAATAATCTTTCATAAAGTTCAGAAAGGTTGAAGCGAATTACAAGGACATTTGCGGGCTTCATTGCACTTGAAAATTTTGCACGCTTTGTTTGATGTTACACTTGAAGTAGGGCTGTGCGAAAAATGAATGCGATTTTCATGCGCATCTCGTCAGTAAAGCCGCTTCTGGTGATTAGTAGTAAATCTCCAGCACGTGCTTTCATTATGACGCAAAATTAATGTAAACACAGCCAGTTATGTCTTAAGGGATTAAACGGACAGGACAAACCACATTATTTCAAAAGAGATCCGTGCGTGAATGCAGCTTAATAGATCTCCCGCTGTCTGTGATGTCATAGTAAAAAACAACAGTAAAGATGAAGAAAAATCACTCAGTTCTTGAATGGAAAACGTTCAGATAATCTTAAATACTGAAAGCACTCTGTTTGTTGTTTGTAATGTGTTTCTATGCTCCTCTTTATTATTTGCTACTTGCTTGTATGTTTTGAAGTTATATTAGTTTAAAATTCTTAACATACAACTGTTTTCATTATTTTTTTCAATTTGTAATTATTTTAAAAAGTACTTAATTACCCATGTAAGGCTATGTAAAAGTAAGGATTTTAAGATTCTCAAGTCGGTAAACTAATTAATTAGTAAGGGGGAAAAAAAGTAGATCAAGAATCGTTCTGGAATCGGATCGTGACTCCCAGAATCGGATCGTGAGGTGACTAAAGATTCCCACCCCTAGGAAATACTAATGATGGACCGAAATTTCGGAAACCAAAATATTTCTGTTATATACCAATAATATTACTAATATTTTCCTTTTTTAAAACTCCAAAACTGGTAACATGTCAGCTGTGTGGACGGTAGTGCTCAATTAACAATATCGGTTTGCCTTTTTTTGCTTATTTTTAGATGTTTTAGTCTAACGCATGTAACCTCAGACGCTTTGATCTTCTGAGATACGGACGATACAAACACAGTGTATTAACATACAGGCATCTGTTTCCACTTCTCACTGAGAGAAGATGCGGGAAAGCTTCTTTCTCACCTTTGCATTGTTCATCCTCCCCCATTTCACTCAGAATGGTCAATAGCATAATCTAATGTTCTACATGAATGCAAGTGATATTCACAGTCATGTTTGGTTTCATTTGAAACGACTGGTACAATGGTCTCAATCTTACAAGGAGACTAAAAGGTAATGAAGATTACCAAACGGTGGCGGTACGGGTCCAAATGGGCCGATTGGACGAGGAGGGCCGTATGAGCCCATGGGTGGCGGTCTGAAGCGCTGCTCTGGTGGGATCATGGGCGGGTGACCATTGAGCGGTCGTATCATCATGGGTGGCATGACTGGGGGTCCGTACGACTTCGGTGGAGGAACCGGAGAATCACGGATGGGAGATGGCAAGAAGGATCCCTGACTCTGAGACTTGGAGAGCTGGAGGAGAAGATGCAGAACTACAGGTTATGAAAAAAAGTGATTTAACACCGGATTCCTGTTAACCGACCCAAGCAGACATCAGTGAACCACTGCAAGGCCAGAAACATACTTTATACAAGAACAACAGCAGAAACAAGCGCAGGGATTCACAAACCCTTCTGTTAGCCCAACATCTTGGACAATAAACATTTTAATATTCCAGTCGCACTGAGATTTTAATTTTTTTGATTTAAAATTAGTTCAATCATTTAACACATTCACATGCATGCTCATGGTTCTCTGATGTTGTTTAATGGTCACACTGGTGTTTTAGGAACCCAATCAGTTTGAATATAATAATAACAACAATAATATCCCTAATAATAGTAGTAATAATTATCAGCTCTATTGATCATTAATTATTAATATAATAATAATATAACTAATTATAAAAAAATGAAGTCAAACATATTACTGTTGTAAATTACAATTATACTATAAAATAAACAGAATATTTGATATTACAGTTACAATCATTTGTCTTAACATTTCAAAGCCTCAAGCTTTATTAATAATAATTATAATAATTGTTTACTATATTAACCAATTATAAAAATGAATAAAGAAATCTTACTGCTGTAAAATAAAAGTTTAATGTAAAATAAAATAAAGATTGATGATAATTTTGTATTTTACACTACAAGTTACAATACTAATATTTATGTCTTAAATTCTTCGCTTACGAATGTTCAAACTCTCAAGCTTTTAACACTTCAATGCCTCAAGCTTAATTAATAATTATCATAACTGTTGATTATTAATCTAACTCCAATTATAAAAAAATGAAAGTGTTGTAAATTACAATTGTACTGTAAACAATTATTTTATTTTACACTACAATAATATTACTTATTAATAATATTAATAACTATTATAAGAATAATAATAATACATTCATTATTAATGGATACTCAAAGCTTTTATAATTTATGAAATATTTATATTTTTAAAATATTTAAGCTTTTGACATTTCAAAGCCTCAAGCTTTTATTTTGGCAGAATACGACTGAAAGGCTGTAAACTTCTGTGCACAAAAATGTTAGAAATTATGAAAATGTGTAAAAGCATGAGTGGCAAATGTTGCGTTACCCAACTCGCAGGACATGCAGAGCATTATTTGTGCAGCCCTATCTATTTAAGCCCTATTTATTTATTTTAATTTTACATTCAATTCAATTTCACATACTTAACATGCGCTTGTGTCACTGTGGTGGTAATGCATCTTACTACTCATCAGAGCCGATAAAGTCTTGTTGTGTTCCATTTCAATCAATCTTGCATTGCTAGAACTATTTTGCATTCATGTACTTGTGTAGAGTATGTTTCAGGCCTATACATGCTGTAACTCACTCACCGACATGAGGTTTGTTAAACATACGCCACATTCTGAGCACAAGACCCACACAGTAATTAGAAAGTGAACAGAAAGACATGTTGTGATTAATCAGGCTCTGAAGACCCCCAAAACAGACCCTGGCACTGTGCACAAACCCGTCCCATCCATCCCAGCACCCAGCCGCTGTACTCACAGGCTCTATGGGCTCAGACAAGACCTGCTCCGAGGCCTCGGCCGTCTCACTGACCGGTGCCGGCTGCTTTAAAGCAAACACACCCACCGCCGTTTAATGGAGAACAACATCTGGATACGCATGACTGTTTACTGGAGATCTCCTCGCTCACATTTGGACATATTGTACATAAAATCTCAGAGAAAAACATGACAGCTGTGATCCTTACCATCGGTCCATCGTGTGCACAGGGAGATGAAGTCATCGGAGGAAACATTTCTGAAAATGACATTTAGACATCTGTGAATGCAGATATAATGTAGATCTTAAACTGTGCAATGCAAACCATATCTGATAAAGTCCACATTTATTAAAAAATAAAAATTATATTTAACATAAATGCTGTTCTTTTGAACTTTCTATTCATCAAACAATCACAAAAGATGTAAACAATGTTTTTAATTTCTCTATTTAGCTTTAATTTATATCAGTTTGCTATTTTAGTACTTATTTTAGATGACAAGTCAACATTTCTAATTTTCATTTAAGAATTTAAGCTTTTCATCTAAAATTTATATTTTATTTTAGCTATATTTCAAATCAAGAAATGACCATTGTCATATTTTTTTGTATACTTTTCCTATGTAGCTTTGATGTATCTTTATTTCAGTTTTAGTTATTTTGGTACTTATTTTATTTAGTTGGCAATGCAACATTTCTCATTTTCGTTTTTTTTTTTTTAAATAAAGTTTTTTGTTTTTTTTTAACAAGAAAGCATTAAAATTGATCAAAAGTGCCAGTAAAGACATTTATAATGTTACAAAAGATTTCTATTTCAAATAAATGTTGTTCTTTGAAACTTTGTATTCATCAAAGCATCCTGAAAGATAAAATGTATCATGGTCTCCACAAAAATATGAAGCAGCACAACGGTTTTCAACATTGATGATAATCATAAAAATAAAATGTTTCTTGAGCAGTGATCATGTGACACTGAAGACTGGAGTAATGATGAAAATTCAGCTTTGACCACAGAAATCAATTACATTTTACAATATATTACAATAGACAACAGGTATTTTAAATTGTAATAATATTTCAAAATTTTCACTGTATTTTTGATCAAATAAATGCAGCCTTCTTTGCTGCTTTATAACAGGTCGTATCATAAGCACCTGGTCTGGATGGCAGCGGGTGTCCGAGATCCGAGAAGCGTCCGTGAGGGTCAGACGGGGGTCGTGGACCTGGAACAGATCACAAGGGATTAGGAGCTGTTATCAGTCATTTATACTGACATTAGAGGCTGGAGTTCAAGAGCAAACACATCAGCAACGCTTTCAATGACAAAGACTGAAGGAAATGCTCTGAGGAGAGAAACTGAGGGGGAAATGACAGGAAAGCTAAAATGGAGAGCGACTCAAAAACAGGAAAGCTGGAAAATGAAAGGAGAGGATAAAGTTAATGTCAAGGGGAGGAAGACGACGCAGCGGCGACTCACCGAACGGTTCGCCCCGTCGCCCTACAGGTGCAGAGGGGGGGAGTCCTGGATCCTCTATCATTAGAGGAGGAGAGGGAGCCCCCCCACTCACAGGAGACGGCCCGTACGAATCACCTGTTCAGACCAAACCAGCACAATCAGAAACAATGAGCCAATGACACAACCGGACACATAAGAGCAATCAACCCTGCGCTAAGCTCCGCCCCTCGGTTACTGTCGCAGAGTCTGACAAGCCTCCCAAAAGTAGTAAAAAAAAGTGAAAAAATACTATATTATGACGAGTATTTTTAAAAACTGCATATTTATGTGTTATGTGTATGTTAAATGTCAGATGAAAACAGATAAAACACTGCTTGTATTCTCTCTGGACTTCATAGACTTACATTATACCAGTATTGTTTGTATACTAATATAGTAGTTATTATTTTTCATTAGCTTTCATTTTAATTGTAGTTTTAGTAATTTTTTAATATGCTTTTGTCATTAGGTTTTGGATTAAAAAAAAATCACTTTTTATATCTAGCTATTAAGTTATCTAATAATTATATTTTATTTCAGTTTTATTTCAATGAATGAAAAAGATTTTTAATAGCCTGTCAGACTAAATGTGGTTTTGTCATTGGCAGTAAAAAAAATAATAAATAAATTATATTAAGCTATTATGTTTAAGTTTTTTAATTTAATAATTATATTTTATTTTAACTTTATTTCAATTAATGAAAACGATTTTTAATAGTTTTGGTTAACAATAACAATTTTTCTATTTATCATTCATGATTTTTATTTCAGTTTTAGTTATTTTGGTACATATTTTAGTTACATTTTTTCATCTAATATTTACATTTTATTTCAATTAATAAAGATTTTTAGTTTCTGTTAACAATAACAACTTAGCATTATACAAGAATGAAACCCTGTCAGACTGAATGCATTTGGCATGTTTTTTTTTTTTAAACAACGAATTTCTATTTTGCATGAATGATTTTATTTCCATTTTAGTTATTTTAGTACTTATTTTAGTCACCCAGGCAACATTTCAATTTTTTTTGTTTTACATCTAATATTTATATTTAATTTAGTTTCTGCTTTATTTCAATTAATGAAAATTATTTGAATAGTTTTCATTAACAAAATAACATTGCATTTATACAAGAATGACCGTCTGTCTGAAATATGATTTTGCCATATTCATTTGTCAGTTTTCATTCATTTTTTTTAAATAATGTTTGTGTTTTCTTTCATTTATTCTTACTTCAGTTATTTTAGTACTTAACATTTTTTTACATTTTCATCTAATAATAACAAAAATGATTTTTAATAGTTTTAGTTAACACCACCACATTATGCAAAAACAAAAGCCTGTCAAACGAACTGTGGACAGCAGCAGCAGCCATTCTGTGGGTGGTGTGCGTAGTGAAGACCCTGTGAAGTGTGAATAAGAGGACAGAAACTCCTCACCTCGGCGCTGTGGAGGCATGTGGCGGTCTGGAGGTCCAGAGTTGAGTTTGAACAGACTTTGCTCCAGGTCTGATATTTTATCTCTGTACTCCACAAGCCTTCACAAATGCACAAACACCAGAGTTCAGAAACATCACTGACAATAACAGCAACTAGTGTTGTCACGGTACCAAAATTTCAGTATTCGGTACCAATACCAGTGAAAATCCTCGGTTCTCGGTACCAATTTCGGTACCAAAGCAAAACACAAAAACATGCTAATTGAACAACATTTTTATTAATAACGTTAAAAGCCCAGAACTGCTTTTCTGACTGATATGACACAAACAATGTTAACCACTTGTACATTCTCTAACACGCATATTTTAGATTCACAATTCATTTAAAAGCCTCTGGTGTGTAAAAATAGTAAATATCATCATGTCCTCCTGTTCTTTTAACCCTAATAAAAGCTATAGGAGCATTAAATAGTTAATAAAGAAACTTAATTCTAATGCTCATTATATTAGGGTTAGCCGCGCTTATGCTAACGATGAACTACTCTAATAACAGCGATGTGCATTTCAATCCGACATTCAAATGAAACTTACCTACTTGAACTCTTTCATTTGATCTGGGTGTCTGTCTTTAAAGTGTTTTGTTAGTTTGATGTGTTTCCTCATTTTGATGTCGCCATGTCTCAGTGCTTTTATGAAGAGAGCGCATCTGCTTTTGCGCTCTCCGTTTTAATTTAAATTTACGCTCTCCGTAAAACATCCGTTTTAATTTTTTTACACTAACAGCAATGATATGGAGGACACTGCATTTGAACAGTGTGATATTCTATTGTGTTCTGTTCCATTCTATTATTTAAAAAAAAAAAAAAACCTAGTTACGTGTACTGTGCTAGACTAACTGAGACTTGTCATGGCACTTGTATACTGTTGTTGTTCTCTCGTTGGTCTGATTGCTTCTATTGTTCTCATTTATAAGTCGCTTTGGATAAAAGCATCTGCTAAATGATTAAATGTAAATGTGATTTGATGAATACTCACTTCTGACGAAGAGTGGCCGACTCTCTTCGTTCCTCCACCAGAGTTCGTTCAGAGGTGCGGGCTTTCAACTATAAAAAGGAAGAAAAAAAAACAGTAGGTATGATTAATACATCGGTAAATATATCAGTATTAGCCAATTTTATTATTATTAATAAAAATGTAATAATTTTGTTATCTGCTTTTGTCTTTGCCATTTAATTGTAATGATTTTAAATATTTATAAATAATTGTAAGCTATCAGTATCAGTCAGCGCATCCCTAATGCAAAAGACAAAAAGCTTCTAGTTTTCATTACAAAGTCTACAAATTGTTTTAATTTTTCTGGATTGTTTTAATGGTTCAATTAAATTGTATTTAAAAAAAAAAAAGCATGTCTAATTAATTGAAATCATAAAATTAGACAACTTAAAAACTATTTATTAAAAGTTTAACAAAATACATTTTTAGGGCCCCATGAAATCGGTTTTATTCCATGTTTTCGGCTTTAATTTTACATTTTTATAATTTTAATAATCAAAAAGCATGTCTAATCAATCGAATTAAAAACTTTTACATTTTAAACATTTCTTACGATTTTTACAACAACCTGGCCATAAGAATTTTTTTTCTTATTTTTTTTCCAGAAATTCTGTGTTGTCTGTTGAAATTTTTCTTGATTTATGATTTAATATAAACGTATTATCAAAAACAGTGGTAATCAAATGAAGGCATGAAACGTAATTTAACTAATCTTTTAAAATGTAAACCAATGAATATGAACAATTATTTTATTTTTTGGCAAATTGCTGTACAACAGAAGTTTACTGTTAAAATTAAAAGCAATATTCCTTATTTTTATTTTTTGATATTTTCATTATTATTATTATTAATATTACTATTAGTAGTATTACCATAAGTAGTGCATTCCACTGTACAGTAGTAATATTTCTGTATTTAAATCTGCATTTAAAACATTTTGAAATGTGTACCATATCAGTTATTGGTCACAACACACAAATAATTGTAAGCTATCAGTATCAGCCAGTGAATCCCTAATACAAAAGACGAAAAGCTTCTAGTTTTCATTACAAAGACGAAGCGTGGTAATTACTCACCCAGTTCTCATGGACTTTCTTCTCCTGGATTGCCACCTGTTAGAAGGCGATGGCAGGGAGGTGAGAATGAGACTATGATGAGTTGAGAATACAGTGATTCTGTGCAGTAAATGTTTCTCACCTCAGACTTCAGAGAGCGTTCGTTCTGCTGCATCTCCTCCTCGATGTCCTTGATCTTCTGTTTCAGGGCTCTCACCTCCTCCTCTGAGAGCACAGCTTTACTGTCCACCTCCGACAGCTTCGTCTCCTTCTCGCGTCTCTCCAGCTCCTCCTGAGTCAGTTTCCTACACGCACATCACCAATGCAGCGACATGAAATACAGGCTGCACTTGAGGTTTGAAATTCAATTGATATGAAATCTGTGTCATCCTGAACAGGCAGATCAGAATTTAAATCATATATTTCTTCTCATGTCTCCTGTTTTCTAGCTGTCGTTGTCTAATAAACCTGGCACTTTGTTCCTCTGTTGGAAGTCACCTGTTAAATGCGTAAATGTAAATGTATTGTGCATTATTTAGGATGCAGCGTCAATGCAAAATGTCAAGTCACCTTTATTTGTATAGCGCTTTATACAATACTGGTTGTGTCAAAGCAGCTTAACAGAGTCAAACAGGAAAATAGTTTGTCAATGATGCAACAGCTGTGTGAAATACAGTAGTTTGTATCATAACGTGCACTTGTGTGCAAGATTTCTAGTTTCCATCTGCACTTCCACTGCACAAACTTACAGCTGATGCTCAAGTTTTTTCCACCTGAATTGCTATGAAAAAAATTCAGTTTATTTTTTATCATATTTTAGAACATAGTAACTAAAAACATGGAAATAATAAATTAAACATGTATATGTGTGTGTGTGTATATATATATATATATATAGCAACATTGAACTAATGGATCTAATTTGAGCACTCGATTTTTTTATTTCACACTGAAGAATTACAATATTAATATACCTTATTTTGTTTAATATATATTTCTTCTTTTAAAAAATTATATTTCCCCAAATTGTGCAGCCCCAATTAAATGTATCAATAACAGATCACAATAACTGGCTTTTTATACTAATGGATCTCATTTGAGTATTTGATTCTTTTCTTTATTTTACAATGAACTATGAGAATATTAATATATCTTATTTTGTTGTTGTTTTAAATCGTTTTAATAAATTTTTTTATAAATTACATTACCCCAAATCGTACATCCCCAATTAAATGTATTATATGGCAACGCTCCCTGAACTAATGGATTGGATTTTTTTTTTTTAACAGTAAACTATTAGAACTTTAATATATCTTTTTTGTTTAATATCTTTTTTTTTTTTTTGCATTTTAAATCGAAAGCTTTTTTTTGTAAATTTATTTTCCCAAACTGTGCAGCCTTAATTCAGTATATCGACCATATTTTTTTAAATTGCATTTTCTACTGAAATCAAAATGCATTTCCATAATCGTGCAGCCCTAATTAAATAATAATAATAATAGACACAATAACTGGCTTTTTATGGTTGGTCCTCTTGCTGCAAGAAAAACTTATTTAAATTTTGAATAAATGACACAAAAGCAAGCATCTACATTGAAATAATTATTCTACTTAGTAGAATGCCTTCTGTACGGTTTCATTTTATACACACTAACTAAAAACATGGAATTAAAATTCTTATATTGCAACACTCCCTGAACTACTGATCTGATCACTTGTAAAGGGTTTGATCGTGCATGGATGCGATGTAATGGTGTGCAGTGTGAATGAAGTGTGAGCTCTCACTGCTGCAGTGCGTTCTCTTTCTGCTGGTAGAGTTCAGTGGTGATTTCCAGCCTCTGCTGCAGGTGCTTGAACTGGTTCTCCAGATGCGTTTTCTCATTGTTCAGATTCATCTGGGCATGCATGACATTCTGATATTGCTCTATATTAAAAACAAAACAATACATGACTAGATGAAGAGGTAGAAAGCCGATCGGAAGGTGTTCGAACGAACAGTCGCAGTCTTCATACCCTCCAGCTCCTGTCTGGCTTTCTGTTCGGCGAGGAGACTTTCCACGTAGCGATTCCTTTCGTCTTCAACAACGCTGAGAGTCACTTTAATCTGTGAAACAGAAACTGCATTAGAAATGAGAAGAGTGTTGAATTATCCTCCAAATAAAAGCAGACCTATGTACCCTGGAGACGTCCATCATCTGCTTGATTCGCAGTCTCATGCTGTCCATCTTCTTCTCTGAAAGAAAACAGACGCTTGTTCTTCAGATTCAGAACAGAGGAGAATGTTTCATCTAACCTTCTTCAAGCCTCGAGCAGCTCATTGCTTGTGTAAAACAGCAGCAAAATGATAAAAGACACCAATGTTCATTGAATAAATGTAGGGCAGCACGACTAATCGCAATAAAATCAAAATTACGAGCAATTTATCAAATTTTAGACCAAGATAAAGCCGCAACCATTCAACATTTGAAAATGAAGATATTAAGACAGCCGTAAATATATGTTGTAATTTTACAATTCTACGGTAAAATAAAATTATTATTATTTTTCGTACTTTGTTTACTGTAATATTAGAATCGCACTGTTATTTTGTTTAATTTGTTAGAATAATAACAACTACTTTTAATATTGTTAATAATATAATTATTAAAGTTATTAAAATATATATCTTTTTTTAAATATTATTAAAATATTCAAGATTAAATGCATTAAATTAATACATTAAAATATTACTATTACTACTACTACTACTAATAATAATTTAATATCCTATTTTGTTTAACATTTAATTTAGAATTATGTTTAATATTTTAATAATAATCATTATTATTATTATTATTATATTGATGAACCACAAATTTTTGGCCAAATTGTGTATACAAACAAACAACTTTTTTATTGCAGCAGAAATGATCAGAAAAACTGCAATAATATTTTTCCCATCATTAATAGATCACAATAACTGGCTTTTTATGGTTGCCAAGCAACAAAACAATCAAAGCTCTTTCTATACACATTGGTCCTCTTGCAGCATGAAGAACAGAATTATTCACATTTTGAATAAAATAAATTTAATCTATACTGAAATCTGTCAAATCCAAAATAATTCCATATAACAAACAGTGCTTTTGACTTTAGTTCTAAAGCTTCTCAGAGTGTCAGACATCTCCTCAGCACTCGCGAGCAGAAGTAAAACATACACGCATCAGATTATATCTGATATCTCTTGAGCCCTTCTTTTCTCAGCAGATGACTTTCTGAATTTCCCATGTTTCATCTGCGGATCACAGCAGACTCAAGCACTTTAATGAGCCACTCTAGATGAGAGCCTCTGCAAATGCAAATGTATGCAACTCCAAAAGACCAAAAACAGACAGGGGAAACAAGTTTAAATAGAAACTGGAGTTATAAATAGAGTGCTTACCAGCATCTTCTCCATTAGACATTTTAGCATCGTCTTTCTGTAGTTCTGCAGGATCACAGGCTCCCAGACGATTGAGCTCTGCAATACAGCTGGACAAAACCTAGACACCAGAGCATGGGATGCCATGCATTTACAACGTGATATTTTGAGGAACACACTATAATTTCCGCTGGAGCACCTGTTTTAGAAAATGCAACAAGCTTCACTCACGTCAATCTCATTCTCCTTGTGCACCAGAGAGTCTTCCAGCTCTTTCTGGGATTTGTGGTAAACTCGGATCTCCTTGCTCAGTTTCTTGTGCTTCTCCTGCCAGTCTTTCGCATCACGGAGGAGCTGTCCGGAAATAAATATCATTAGATTCAAGCTGACACCGATGAATGAATGAGATTCACAGCTCTGACAGCAGGACTCACAGATTTCTTCTGCTCTTTTAAAGCGCCGTTTTCCTTCTCGAAGGACAGAACCTGAGCCTTAAAGGCATCTTCTCTGAGTTTGGCTTCATCCATGAGGACATGAACCTGTTATCAAATCAAAACAAACCCCAAATGTTCAGATACATATTCAAATGACTACAAAACAGGGCTATAGTTAACTAAAACTAAAATTAAAACTACAAAAATTTGTTACTTGAAATAAATGTTAACTAAAATAACATTTAAAAAAAACTTATTTTATTCCAAGTAGTTGCAAAATTTCTTATTTTAGTTGTTTAACCTGGTGGACTAAAATAACTAAATCTGAAATGAAATTAATAAAAGCTATCTATCTCTCAGCGCTCGAGCAGCTGCAGTGAATTTTAACCAAAGTATGTTGCAGACATTTCATGAAGACCCTAAAGAATCATACTAACTCGTGGAAAATGGACATCCGATGTCCCCTTTAATATTTAAATTATTTGGAAATTATAAACTGCAATGAATCAAATTTATTAAAATAAATGTTTGCTTTTTTTTTTTTTTTTTAATCGCACATTTAAAAAGCATGAAATATTTAACAGCTGGATATAACTAAAAAGATAAATGCATACATTTTCAAGCTATTATTCATTTCCATGACTTTTCCAAGTCTGTTTTAAAACACTCTGATTTTGCTCTGACAGTAGGAATCCTCTATTTAATAATTCACTCAATGCAACTGCTTCTCTCTCCATGTTTGTTAGCGAGAAAAACAAGTGCTAGTAGGATAACCTGTCAGTGTTAGCAACAGTAACTAAGCATGAATGCATTATGCTAGTTAGGGAATTTTGATTTGTTTTTTCATTTGTTTTGCATAACCTTGACAGAAACAATACATGGAGATATATAAAGATTGATGACAAATTGATGCCAAACACCGCCAGAGATCAGCTCATGCAGCACAAGTTACCTTTGCACGCTCCTCGTCATAGCTCTTCAGCGTTTTCTGGTATTTCTCAATTCTCTGGTGCATTTTGGCAATCTTTGGTTGAGAGAAAAGCAAAAAGGTTATGAAAAATCTGAGAGATGATAATCACAGTGGCAAAAAAATAAAAGAAACCAAAGCTTACCTTCTCATTGAGATTTGAATTTTCTTCCTGTGTGTCCACTATTTTGTGGTTGAGCTGTGAAATGCTCCCAGACATCTGCTCCCACTGGCTCTGGAGCTTCTGGTGACGGTTCTAGTCAGCAAAAACAACAAACCATATTATACTAATGTGCATCGTGAGGGAACTGTGATCGTGATGGATGAATCCTGCTGCTGTGATTCACCTTCAGCCCTTTCATTTCTTGTTGGCTGGAACTCAGTGATTTCTCAGAGTTTTTCAGTCGTTCTTCACGCTCTTTTATCTGCAAGGAGACAAATGATCAGATTCATAAGCCTTTACTGAAACCAATAAGACGGTCAAAGACGAGTCAGTGAAATTTACCACGTCATTCAGTTCTGAGATCTTGTTAGCAGCATCAGATTTCTCGTTGAGAAGCTGCTGGATCTTGTCTCTAAGCTGCTTTTCAGTTACTGCAAAAGAAAAAATGATGTAAAATAAATTTAAAAAGTAAAGAAAATATTTTAAGAGACTTTAAGAACACTTCAAATTACTACAAAAAAATGTAAATAATTTTACAAAAAAATACTCTACATATTTAAGATGAGAACAACACATTATTATGAATGAATTTTGTTATTAATATTGATAATATTACAATATTCGATGAGGATATAAATATTTTTGGAAAAGTAAATCAAAAACTACTGAAAAAAAGTCTTAACTTAATATTTGAATTATTTGGAAAAGAAACTATAAACTACATTGAAACTAATTCATAAAAAAAAAAAATTATTTCATATTACTTTGAACACGTACAATTTTGACTAGAGATCATACAAAATGCATGTTATTTTTTATTTAGTACTGTCCGGAGTAAGATATTTTACAAACAAAATGCATGCCACTGTATTCTCATTAGACAAATTAAAGAAAGAAATATACACACATATATATACACACATATATATATATATATATTCTCAGACAAATTAAAGAAAGAATATTTTAAAAGGCAGTATGGTTGTCATGATCTCACACCTTACACTATCACACGTAATATTATAATGTAAATGATATTTTGAAAATAACTCGCTTGTTTTCATATTATATGATGCAATAATGCCTTTTTTTTTTTTTACATAATCCAGTGCATTAAATATTTAATAAATTATAAGTACTGCAGCATGTGATTATCTGATACACACAAACCAAAACATCAGCTTATTTTTAAATTAATAAATCTGACATCAGTGCAAAAAAAGATCTTTGAGATCAAATGTATATTTAGCTGATATCTCAATCATATTGAGGCTGACTTACACTGATAGGTTCTGCCTTTGATCTAGAGGACAAGAGAAGATTTGAATGGTACTGATTAGACTGAAGCAATCTCAAAAGAATGAAAACATTCATCACAAGGTGATTCTTACAGCGAGAACCGTCCTCCAGAAGAACATCAGAACTGTAAATGTACCGACAACCGCCGTAACCACCACCGGCTCCCAGGGGACGCCGTGCAAAGTGGGTCCCGGTCGCCATTCCTCTGGAAGACCAGTGATCAGCTGATCGACACAAAGACACATGAAGTATCATCAGTTTTATGATAACTACTACAAAAAAACCTCCTCTTTTGACTACTTGGTTTCTACTGAAGCACATTTTCACCAAGGGATATAAAAGTAAAAAAGGTCATTGCAACTTTTTATCTCACAATCTGACTTTTATTCTAGCAATTCTGAGTTCACAATTATTCTGATTTCACAATTAAAAAATAAAATCAGAATTGAGAGATATAAACAAAAAAACTTGCGAGAAACTCTCAATTCTGAGGAAATAAAGAATTGCAAGATATAAACTCAGAATTCTAACTTTTTCCCTCAATTCTATTATTTTGTTCAAATTTTGTTTCAAATTTTAAAACGTCATTGCAACCTTTTTCTCTCACAATTCTCACTTTTATTTTTGCAATTCTGAAGAAGACTGAATTACGAGATATAGCCTACGCTTAGAATTCAGAATTTTTCTCACTAATTCAGAGTGTTTTTTTTTTTGTTTGTTTCCAACACGGATTAAAAAAAAGGTAATTGTTACTTTATATCTCTTTATATTTTACAAATCTGACTTTATATCTCACAATTCTGAGGAAAAAAAGTCAGAACTGTAAGATGAAAAGTCACAATTACTTTTTTTACTTCTTTATCCTGTTTTGCAAACAAGCTTTAAATGCTTTCACTGTCTGACAGGTTTAGTTAGAAGCCCCAGATGTTAATTCTGTGACTGCTTCAGATCCATTTCTGCACTTTTTTAGACTTATACTGCCAAATCTAAAGCAGCCAAGTCTCTTTAAGCACTGACCCTTATCACCACCAGCCACATGCAACAGAAACACAACACTAGGGGTTTACTGCACTTTGACCTCTGATGAAACACAGTCACCTAATGCCTAGAATAAGCACTCACAACTCCGTTTAAATGATTTATACGATCCTTAATGGACTTAACTCACTGGGACTGCAGAATTACTCAATGAGCGCTCAAAATACAGCCATTGTGTCATTATTACACAACTACTGCATGGATATTATACCGATCTGCTGACTGAATGATGGATGGCAAGCAGTTTAAGTCGTTATAAATCATGCATTTCGCTCCTGAAGGCAGTGATCGAGTCTAGAGAGTGGAAACACTTACTTCCTGAAGTCTGAACAGGATGAAGACGAAAAAGGCTGTGTTTTCTACCTCAGATGGTGGAGAGGTAAGACTCGGCTGTGAATCCATTCTCTTGAAGCGTTTGAACTTATTTACCAGAGTAACCGAGCGCTCAGAGACGAAGTTTGAAGCCGATAAACACGGAAATGGCGGGCCGCCGGTTCATATCGGGAAGCCGGTGTTTTCTGATATAAAACCGCTCTGACTGACTATATTTAAGCTGTGTACAGGAGGATAGCAAGTATATACGATTAGCATGTTTTGAAATCGCGACTGGAGGAAGAACAGCGCTGATCTCTTTCAACACGTCAACATTTCAAAGAGTCTCTCACGAAGAGAAGCGTTTCCACTCTGGTCATGTGATGCTGACGGCGGACTCTGATTGGTCAACAACGGGTGCGCGCTGGAGGAGATCCCATTTAGCTGTGATGCTAGCGGTTTTGAAAGATCATCAACTTGAATAAACGACGCTTCAGTGAATCTGTCGTATATAAGGCGGCGATATTTAATTTAAATGATTTGGAATTTAATCTAGGTAAGGTTTGATACACATATTTGTCTCGAAATGAGTTTAATTAACAGCTTTAGCATGAAGCCCTATTGGATTTCATTCACGCATATCGACACCATCAGCGGTCACATGACTTGAAGCAGAAGTGACAAAATCATTACTGTCGATCTTATAAAACACTAAATAAATATATAGAGGATAAACAGGTCTACTTAAGGAACATACATTCATTTATGAAAATATTTCGACAGGAAAAACCCTGTAAATTCAGTCAGTGTATTTGTCTAGGGCAAATAACATTCTAACATAATAATAATAATAAAAAAGACAATTAGGGGAAAATATTTGCTTTTTTTATATATACATTTTGCTATTTTTTGAAAACTTGAAATGTAACACTGCTGTTCAAAAGTTTGGGATCAGTAAGATTTTTAATGTGCTTTAAAGAAGTCTCTTCTGTTCATCATGGCTGCATTTATTTGACCAAAAATACAAAAAAAATGTAATATTGTAAAATATTATTACAATTTAAAATACTGTTTTTCTATTTTAATATACTTTAAAATATAATTTATTCCTGTGATGCAAAGCTGATTTCCAGCATCATTACTCCAGTCTTAAGCGTCACATGATTCTTCAGAAATCATTCTAATATGCTGATTTATTATCAATGTTGGAAACAGTTTTGCTGCTTCATATTTTTTTTGGAACCTCTGATACTTTCTTCAGGATTCTTTGATGAATAAAGTTTAAAAAGAACAGCATTTATTCAAAATAGAAATCCTTTCTAACAATATATGTCTTTATTAGCACTTTTGATCAATTTAACACATCATCGCTGAATAAAAGCATTGGTATATGGTAGTGTATATTGTTAGAAAAGATTTCTATTTTTCTATTTTCAGCCTGCGCCATCTAAAGTTTCATGACAGAACTTGGGATATATAATAAAATGTATAATTAAGTGTAACCCAGACATTCATGACGGCTTCATCACATTCATCATTCACTGTAGGCAGAGTAATAGGTCTCTGCTATATTAAAGGGGTCATATGATGCGATTTCAATTGTTCCTTTCTCTTTGGAGTGTTACAAGCTCTTGGTGCATAAAGAAGATCTGTAAAGTTGCAAAGACTAAAGTCTCAAATCCAAAGAGATATTCTTTATAAAAGTTAAGAGTCAACCACGCCTACCTAAAACGACTCGTTCTAACACGCCCCCACATGTCTACCTCACTATGTGGGAAGATTTGCATAATGCCGCCCAAATGTTCACGCAAAGAAAGAAGGCGTAACTTTTATTCTCGCTGTAGTTTTGTTGTTTCCGCCGCAATGTCGTGAAGACGCTGTGTGTTTCGTTGTGAAAGCGAAACCACTTTGTTTGGTCTTCCAAGAGAGGACGATATCTGCTTCATCATGCCTGGAGCTGGTCCGTGCTGGTCGCTGAGGAAATACATCAACTTATAATGTACAGTATGTGGAAAATAATGTTTTTTTGAACCTTAAACCGCATAAACACATTTCATTACACCAAATACGGTTCTTTTTAGCAGCATCATATGACCCCTTTAAATGAGATATATACGGTATCTGAATTTTTAATTTAGAGGCGGCTTAAAATCAAGGAACAGCAGTTCGAGCCAAAACACCAGCAACACCACCAACAAACACAACCACAGATGACTCCAGAAACCATTACAGAAACCATTCTCAAATTAGTTTGCTTCTCTGAAACCCAGAACCAAGTGAACTCCAACAGAAAACAATCCTGTTATTAACATCACACCAATTACTCGTGCAACGTGAGTTCAGAGTGTCAGCGGCTAACAAGACTTATAATGAACACATAACCACATCCCAGACATGCTTGCTCATATGAACGTTTCCTTAAAGTCAGTAAAATTTCTCTAAAAAAAGTTTGACAATCTGGAAAAGAACATTTTTTTATCAGTTCTAAACTCACTTTTTTTTAACTGCATTGACTGTCTGCTATATATGGAAGCCCGTTTCCGCCACTGAATTAAAAAAAAAAAAAAAGGACCGCAATTCTGACTTTTTTTTTTTCACAGAATTGTGAGATATAAACTCGCAATTCTGACTTTTTTTCTCGCAATTGCGAGTTTATATCTCGCAATTCTGACTTTTTTTCTCAGAATTGTGAGATATAAACTCGCAATTGCGAGTTAAAGTCCAATTTTGAGGGGGGAAAAAAGAATATGTTCTCAGAATTGCAAGTTTATATCTCACAATTCTGACTTTATAACTCGCAATTATGAGAAAAAAAGTCAGAATTGCGAGATATACACTCGCAATTGTGAGAAAAAAAAAGTCAGAATTGCGAGATATAAACTTGCAATTGCGAGAGAAAAAAGTCAGAATTGCGAGATATAAACTTGTAATTGCGAGAAAAAAAAGTCAGAATTGCGAGTTTATATCTCGCAGTTGACTTTATTTCTCAGAATTGCGAGTTTATATCTCACAATTATGACTTTTTAACTCGCAATTACGAGTTTATACCACGCAGTTCTGAGAAAAAAAGTCAGAATTGCGAGATAAAAAGTCGCAATTACCTCTTTTATTTTTTATTCAGTGGCGGAAACGGGCTTCCATAGCTATAGCATCCATTTACAGCAATGAAAAAAATCTAAATCAACAACACACAAATTGCACAAAACGTTGTGTGGCTAGAATCTTAAAATATTGTCTTACTCACAATTTCTCCATAAACTCCAAGATATTCTTTGAAGAGAAGCACTAAAGCCCAAAGTTCATCTGCAGTCGATGAGCTGGAGGAAACACTGTCGTGGAAATCAGAGACGCTCGGAGACTCCAGTGAACCTGGTGACAGAAAACAACCACTTTAGCTCGATATATGCAATATTAATTAATCAAATTGAAGGAAAAAGAAAACCACTGACACACCTGAAGATGGATCCACTTCAAAGTGAAAGCTGATGTCCACTGATTTCTCTAAAATAGCATGAGGCCCCTTCTGAATCTCCTCAGCGTCCTCGAACCCTATCTGGGTGTCTTTATTTCTGTTGAAATGGCCCTCCTCGAGACCAACGTCTTTACTGTGAGACAGATCTTTGTTCGTATTTAATTCAGAATTCAGAATCACTTCAGATTCGTTCTGCTCCTCATGCACCGCAGGACTCTCGGGTGGTTCGGTCATTTCAACGTTACTGCCCAAACCCTTCACCTCTTCAGAGTCGATTTTTTCATCTGGGAAAATAAGGCGCATAAAATCTTTAATAAAACATTAACCCTATAAAGCCTGACATTTGAAATAATCTGACATTTTTGAACTGGAATGGTTTATTGAAAGTTAACACAATATATTAAAGAAAAGTTTGCATATACACTACCAGTCAAAAGTTTGAGATCAGAACGATTTGTAATGTTTTTTACAGGAGTTTCTTCTGCTCATCAAGGCTGCATTTATTTGATCAAAAATGTGGAAAAAAATGAAATATTGTGAAAATATTATTATGATGTAAAATAACGTTTTTCTATTTTAATACACTTTAAAATCTAATTCATTCCTGTTATGCAAAGCTGATTTTTCCAGTCTTCAGTGTCACATGATCTTCAGAAATCATTCTAATATGCTGATTTATTATCAGTGCTGGAAACTGTTGTGCTGCTTAATATTTTTTTGGAACCTGTGATACTTTTTTCAGGATTCTTTGATGAATAAAAAGTTAAAAAGAAGAGCATTTATTTAAAATGGGAATCTTTTCTAACAATATACACTACAGCTCCAAAATTTGGGGTCAGTAAATTTCAATTTACAAAATTCAGCAAGGATGTGTTAAATTGTTAAGAAGTGATAGCAAAGATTTATATTGTTAGAAAAGATTTATATTTTGAATAAACGCTGTTCTTTTCAACTTTTTATTCATCAAAGAATCCTGAAAAAAGTATCGCAGTTTTCAAAAAAAAATATTTGGCAGCACAACTGATAATTCTAATAATAAATCAGCATATTAGAATGATTTCTGAAGGATCATGTGACACTTTACACTGGAGTAATGGCTGATGGAAATTCAGCTTTGCATCACAGAAATAAATTCTATTTTAAAGGATATTAAAATAGAAACCATTATTTTATATTGTAATAACATTTTGCAAGATTACTGTTTTTTTCTGTATTTTTGATCAAATAAATGCAGCCTTGATGAGCAGAAGAGACTTCTTTAAAAAAACATTACAAGTCTTACTAATCCCAAACTTTTGACCGGTAGTGTATGTTTTTTTGTTGAGTATCATATTTGATGCATCAGGCTTTTATGGCTCATATAGTCTGATATAGTGAGAATATGGAGGAAAAAACGGAATCTCAATTTTATTTATAGGCCCAAAATGAGCAAAAATATGCAATTTGGTGCAGATGCTGATATTTATATGAACAAAAAGTGATGAAATTCTAATGTTTGTAATGTAAACCAATGAGATCTTTATAACCGTATAGAAGATACTGGCATTAAATTATCAGTCGTCAGTCTATATATCCAATAATATGTCTTAGTAAGATGAGATTTAAATGATCAAAACATAATGCAATGATGATTGCCTGATGATCATATTTTGAGACTCGCTGATTTTTCTAACTAATTTTTCTAATTTTTAAAACAATGCAAACAGTATCTGATTTTAGGTAAAACCTGAAATGACTCACTGAAACAAGCAAATGCATATAATTAGTGGTTTGGAATAGTGCTGGGCGGTATGACCAAAAATTTATATCACGGTATTTTTCAAAATTAAACCGGTTTCACGGTACATGATGGTTTTTTTTTTTTCATGCATGACCGGGTGTTAACCATATTTTCTACTGATTGAGAGGAAATACTGCAGTATATTGACTTAGAATGCCCTATTTTACTGTCATGATGAGTGAATATTGTCAAAAAATACCACACTAAATAGTGACTAAACACGACCCCTTTTAATACATGTTAACCAGGAGTCACTCTCATTTATAATCACGGCATCGTCTGATAAAATCAACATGCATCTCAGTGCAACAGTGAAAAGGGACCCCTTTCAAACAGTGTCACATTCCCAACGTTGTTTAAGTGACATACACCATATTGCGGTATTTTAAAAATTCATATCATAACAAAAATAAACACCGGTATTCGGTATGAACCGGTATACCGCCCAGCACTAGTTTGGAAATGCAAGCATTGCTGTTAGTACTGCTAAAATGACCTGTTTCAGTTGCAAGATGTTCTTCCTCGACCAATGGTGCGCTGTCACTGGCTGCTGAATATTTCTGTCGTAAAGCGAAAACGATCTCCTGGAAAGCATCTAAGATGGCAGCCTCGAAGTCATACATTTCCGGTTCCTTCTGCTGTCCGTGTTCCTGAGATGTCCGGTCTCTTTCATTAAATATGTCCTCTGTGGCGTCGAGAATCGAGTTCTCCGAGGCCTCCATGATCTGGTCCAGCGTTCGCTCGATTTCCTCCGTGTCCGTCTGCAGCTCTCTCGCAGACTTCATCTCCAGATCTAGATCAGAAAACAGGGCTTCGATTTTGAACAGGTTCTTAAGGGCTAAATACTTCTGCATGCGCTCCATGTCCACGTCCTTCAGGTGATCGCGTAAGATTGAGAGTCTCAGCACGTTATCGCTGTAGTCAGGCTCCTCGGGAGGAAGACGGATTTCATCGTTTTCTTCTTGCTTTGTGGTGTTTGCGCTTTGTTGGGATTCAACCCACTGATCACCTTCAGGTTGTTGGTTTTCTTTGGGTTCTTGTATGCCTTCTGTGAGCTGAGATTCAGAAGAAAGAAGAGCATTTTCATCTTCTAAAAACTCTTCGGCATCTTCATCCACATCCTCTTCAGGACTTTGTTGTTCTGATTCCAGTGTGTTTTTCAGTAGATCCACGAGTTCGTTCTTCACTTTATCAATCTGTTCATCCATTTGGGCAAATGGAGGTGCAGTTTCTGGGCTTTCTGTAACAAGTTCCTCCTTTAACTTCTCATCTTCGCCAATCGATTCTCTCACTTTTTCGCTATTCTTCGTAACTGCATCCTGAGGATCGTCTGCAGTGTTTATGTTTGCATTTTCATTCATGCTCATGCTGGCCTTCTGAAGAAGGACTTCAACGGCTAGCTTCTCCTGATCGTTTTCTTTAGTGATTTCACTTATATTTAATGCCGGTGGTGCTTTTGCAGACTCGGTTTCCAATGCTGGTTCAGATGGGACGTCTTGACTTGTATCCGAAGCAGTTTTAGCATTTGGAGACAGATGAGAAGATTCTGGGATTTTGACGTCAACGGCTTCATCTGCATTAGCCAGTTCTTCAAAATCACTCTGTGCATGTGTGACCTCAAGACCAGCTTGTTCTTCAACATCAGCAGCTGAAAGCGATTCTTTGGTGAGCTCCTGAAGCGATTCGTTCTCTTGCGTTTCACCTTCATGCTCTGTTTTGAAAGCATCTTTAAAGGTTGGCCTGTTCTCATCCTCAAGTGTTTTCTCTGGTGTTTGTAGTGGTATATCTTTATCCTTTAGCTCTGTTCTAGCAGGTTCTTCATGTGCTGCGTCTAAACCTGCTGCTTGTGTTTCAAGTGGCTCAAAATCAGAGTCACTTTGGTTGTGCAAAAGCTCAGAATAATCAATATCTTGTGCGTCAGGATCTGATGGTTCTGTTTCTACATCTTCTGAAATGACCTCAGCATCTTGGCTTATTGGAATATCTTCTGTCTCTTCTGTTAGTGCATCTATAAATTCAGACGTCGGTACTGATGAAACATCTGTCTTTGGCTGAAAGCCATCAGAGTCCTCTTCAGTAGATTTTTGTAATGTCTTGATTTCAGGAGCTTCTACAGATTCTGAATTATCTGCCTTAGATTCAAGAAGCAATGTTGATTCTGAATCGACTGACTTTGATTCATGAAGTGATTCTGAATCTTCTGACTTAGATTCAAGAAGCAATGTTGATTCTGAATCGACTGACTTTGATTCATGAAGTGATTCTGAATCTTCTGACTTAGATTCAAGAAGCGGTGTTGATTCAGAATCGACTGACTTTGATTCATGAAGTGATTCTGAATCTTCTGACTTAGATTAGAGAAGCAATGTTGATTCAGAATCGACTGACTTTGATTCATGAAGTGATTCTGAATCTTCTGACTTAGATTCAAGAAGCGGTGTTGATTCAGAATCGACTGACTTTGATTCATGAAGTGATTCTGAATCTTCTGACTTAGATTCAAGAAGCGGTGTTGATTCAGAATCGACTGACTTTGATTCATGAAGTGATTCTGAATCTTCTGACTTAGATTCGAGAAGCAATGTTGATTCTGAATCGACTGACTTTGATTCATGAAGTGATTCTGATTCTGAATCTACTGAATTTGATTCCAGAAGCGATTTTGATTCTGAACCTAGTGACTCTGATTTAAGAATCGATGTTGATTCCGAATCTAATGACTCTGATTCAAGAATCGATGTTGATTCCGAATCTAATGACTCTGATTCAAGAGGCTCCACCGATTCTGTCGTTGTCATTTGAGATGCATCTTCATTCTGAGCTGGTTCTTTAGATTCTTCTGTTGAATTCTCGTTTTCTAGCAACAATGTGCTGCCTAATAACACATCTACGTCATAGCTTTCAAATTTATCAAGACCAGTCTCAAAGCAAACAAAATCTGTTTCCTGAAAAGGGAAAGAAAGATTCATGTTAACCAAATGTCTCATCAAAAACGACCAGACATAAGTCAATATTAACCACATCAACTCACCTCTGTGGGTACCTCCAATTCATTTTCAGTATATATATGATTTATATTAAGATATTCCTTTGGGAAATAACCAAAGTGGTTTCCAACCTATGCAAACAGAGGAAGAGAGAAGAAAAGGTCCTGCTGCCTAATAACACATCTATGTCATAGCTTTCAAATTTATCAAGACCAGTCTCAAAGCAAACAAAATCTGTTCCCTGAAAAGGGAAAGAAAGATACATGTTAACCAAATGTCTCATCAAAAACGACCAGACATAAGTCAATATTAACCACATCAACTCACCTCTGTGGGTACCTCCAATTCATTTTCAGTATATATATGATTTATATTAAGATATTCCTTTGGGAAATAACCAAAGTGGTTTCCAACCTATGCAAACAGAGGAAGAGAGAAGAAAAGGTCCATTTTTGTGCTACAGTAGAAGTACATTTTAACACAGTTTACAAAAAACATAAAACCATAAAAAAATGTAAAAAAAAAAACGTAAAAACAAAAATAAAACAGAACCAAATGTAAAAATATATAAATGCATAAAATAAGAACTAAAAGAATAATATGCACAAAACATGGCAGTCTGCACTTATTATATTGAAAAATGTAAAAAACAAAAACAAATTAAAGTCAAATTTTTTTATATTCCACTCTCATTAAAAAAAAGTATTGAAACAAATAAATAGAGAAGAAAGTTGAATAAACTCTAACACAAAGCACACAAACAGTAGGTAAAATACTACATTTTAATTAGTTTAACTATTTATCATATACTCATAGTCAACATTTCCTTCAACTCAGGCTATTTAAATTAATTTGTTTCATTAGTTTGGAATTGGATTTAGACCATTTTAAAACCAGAATCAAACATTTACTATCATACTAAACCTCCAATACAGAAATGTAGCATTGCATCAGTGTCTCATCAATGGATGCTCTGCAGTGAATGGGTGCCGTCAGAATGAGAGTCCAAACAGCTGATAAAAACATCACAATAATCCACAAGTTATCCACACCACTCCAGTCCATCAGTTAATGTCTTGTGAAGCCAAAAGAAACAAATCTATCAAGATGTCGGAACTTGAAACCATTGTTTCCTGCCAAAATATGAGTCCATATTCCATAATAACGCTTCCTCTGGTGAAAAAGACCATTGTCTATTGTCCTTCACAAAATCCACCCACATATTTGTTTAAAACTGTTCTGGACTGTTTTGGCTTGTAAACGGTGCTTGATCTGTGCAGACTTCTCTCCTGATTCAGACCAGCCCACTTTTTCACTGGAGGAAGCGTTATTATGGATTATGGATATTTTAGCTGGAAGCAATGGTTTGAAAACACCGTAATAATGGATTTAGTTTCTTTTGTCTTCTCAAGATTTTTTAAGGATTATTGTGATGTTTTTATCAGCTGTTTGGACTCTCATTCTGACGGCACCCATTCACTGCAGAGCATCCATTGGAGAGCAAGTGATCCAATGCTACATTTCTCCAAATCTGATGAAGAAACAAACTCATCTACATCTTGGATGACCTGAGGGTGAGCACCTTTTCAGCAAATTTTCATTTTTGTGTGAACTATTCCTTTAACACATTTCTCAGCTGTTGAAGATTTATGCATGATCTGTCGCCCAACTAAATAAATACATGTAGACTGTTTGCGATGATAATAATAATAATAATTGTAATACTAATCAAATACTCCATATGGCAACTGAGTACATCATCAGCAACCCCCCTAACAACCAAACAATCAATCAATCAATCAATCAATCATTAACAAGTTACTTACACTACCAGCCCACACGTCCGATCTCTGCCCTGAGAGTTTATAATATACATATATCGTCTCTTTAACAAGTTACTTACACTACCAGCCCACACGTCCGATCTCTGCCCTGAGAGTTTATAATAAACATATATCGTCTCTCCTTTCTTAAAAGAGAGAAACCGGCAGTCCGGCCCCGTGAAATCCTTGGCGGCCTTCCCTCTGCCGAGAAGCACTAAAGAGACACAAAAAACACGTTAGGATGAAAACTACTCACTTCATGTTCGATTATGAAAGCTTACCATGTACATCCACTTGAAGTTAAGAACAAAACACTGTTCTGCATGAAAGTTGCATGAAAAATTTTAGATTTTTGCTTGCAATGTGGATTTTTAACTTAGAATCAAATGCAATACAGCATAAAAAACATTGTGATTAATTCATTCTAGTTTGCATCAAAAATAAAGCATATTAAAGGGGCAATGCAACAAAGCATAATGGTCCAAAATGGGAATTTATGTTTTAAGCAAAATATATCTTTAATTTCTTACTAATTATTTTGAACTACAACATGATCTGGATATTTATGTACAGTTTTTGTGAGATTCACCCAATCAGGTTGCATTAAGAAATTTTGTGCGTTGAATGTTTTGCAATTGTGTGATGAAACAGTACTGCATGCATTTTTTTAACCATTTAATGATAACATATATTCACAATTTCTGATGAAAGTGGTGCTACAAGTAAAAAAGAAAATTATATTTTATTGCAAATACATAATCTAAGGAAAGAGGGATTGGGAATGATTATATTATTTACTGTAGAAGTTTAGTAATTTTAACAGGAAAAAATATATAGAAATGCTATAGTTAATAAAATGTTGTTAACTAAATTAAGTTGCCTTACCATATAAAATAAAAATATTTTATATTTTAAAAGACAATATATCTGATGTTTTTATTATTTTTAAACGTTAGTTTTACAGTAAAGTTCGAGTAAGAACACCTACAAGTTGTTTTAATACCTAACAATAAAATGATTACAGTGCTGTTTTGAAGTCAAAAGAAACTATTTTTTTGTGAATTAATAATTCATGCATCAGAGTTTATATATATATTTGTTTTATAATGTTTTTTTGTCAACAACAGTTCAACCCAATTCATCTCAAACGTGAACAATCGAACATGATTACAGTGCTGTTTTGAAGTCAAAATAAACTATTTTTTTGTGAATTAATAATTCATGCATCAGAGTTTATATATATATATTTGTTTTATAATGTTTTTTTGTCAACAACAGTTCAACCCAATTCATCTCAAACGTGAACAATCGAATCACGTTTCGCAGACTGTTTGTAATAACGACCTTCCCAATCAAGCAATTGGTCAGTTTTACATGGCGATATGCAACCAGGCCTTAAATGTAATGTTATTAAGGGTTTCAGCATGTGATAGTAACATATTAAAAGCATAAAACATGCATCGACTGGGTAAAAGAACCATATTGAGTGTGCAGTGCGATCATGTTGTTAGCTCGACTGGCTAAACTGAGCTCAGTGTCAACAGACAGGATCTTCAAGGACGCCGCTGCTCAATATCAGCCCTCCACGCAGCATAAAAACCCACTTCTCATTAAATTCATTTATTGTTACAATTGTTACAAAGTTCCAGTATCCCGCGGGAGCGGCGATGCGGCCTTTATGACGTCAGCAGCATCCTGATACAAAGTTCCAGAAGATACTCACTGCTGCATTCATCATCGGCGCATCGCTTCAGGTCCGAGAAGCGCCTGTCTGCACTGCTCTGAGGGAAACACGCGTACAGAACGAGCATAAAAACACAATAAAAACAAGGATTCGGTGCAGCCATGCTGGCAGCTGTTGATCGCGGAGCCGCTGCCGACACGTCAGCAGATCCGAGCTGCTTCTGCGAGGAGAAGAAAAGCCCGGAGTCACGTTACAGCGCGCTTAAAGAGACCGCAGCAGCACAACAACACGCCACGCAAGCGCAGAGCTACAGGATCACGCACAATAAAGGCTTTCTAGAATGTTTGTTACGTTTTACTATATTATTTTTCATTTATTAGAGTGTTTTTTAATCAGGTACATTGTTGCGTAATTTGATCATAAATAATGTTTGGGAAAAGAAACAAGAAACAACTGTAAGATTTGATAGATAGGCAGACAGACAGATAGATAGAGAGACAGACAGACAGACAGACAGACAGAGAGACAGACAGACAGACAGACAGATAGAGTGATAGACAGACAGACAGACAGACAGACAGAGAGACAGACAGACAGACAGACAGATAGAGTGATAGACAGACAGACAGACAGACAGACAGAGAGACAGACAGACAGACAGACAGATAGAGTGATAGACAGACAGACAGACAGACAGACAGAGAGACAGACAGACAGACAGACAGATAGAGTGATAGACAGACAGACAGACAGACAGACAGAGAGACAGACAGACAGACAGACAGATAGAGTGATAGACAGACAGACAGACAGACAGACAGAGAGACAGACAGACAGACAGACAGATAGAGTGATAGACAGACAGACAGACAGACAGACAGAGAGACAGACAGACAGACAGACAGATAGAGTGATAGACAGACAGACAGACAGACAGACAGAGAGACAGACAGACAGACAGACAGATAGAGTGATAGACAGACAGACAGACAGACAGACAGAGAGACAGACAGACAGACAGACAGATAGAGTGATAGACAGACAGACAGACAGACAGACAGAGAGACAGACAGACAGACAGACAGATAGAGTGATAGACAGACAGACAGACAGACAGACAGAGAGACAGACAGACAGACAGACAGATAGAGTGATAGACAGACAGACAGACAGACAGACAGAGAGACAGACAGACAGACAGACAGATAGAGTGATAGACAGACAGACAGACAGACAGACAGAGAGACAGACAGACAGACAGACAGATAGAGTGATAGACAGACAGACAGACAGACAGACAGAGAGACAGACAGACAGACAGACAGATAGAGTGATAGACAGACAGACAGACAGACAGACAGAGAGACAGACAGACAGACAGACAGATAGAGTGATAGACAGACAGACAGACAGACAGACAGAGAGACAGACAGACAGACAGACAGATAGAGTGATAGACAGACAGACAGACAGACAGACAGAGAGACAGACAGACAGACAGACAGATAGAGTGATAGACAGACAGACAGACAGACAGACAGAGAGACAGACAGACAGACAGACAGATAGAGTGATAGACAGACAGACAGACAGACAGACAGAGAGACAGACAGACAGACAGACAGATAGAGTGATAGACAGACAGACAGACAGACAGACAGAGAGACAGACAGACAGACAGACAGATAGAGTGATAGACAGACAGACAGACAGACAGACAGAGAGACAGACAGACAGACAGACAGATAGAGTGATAGACAGACAGACAGACAGACAGACAGAGAGACAGACAGACAGACAGACAGATAGAGTGATAGACAGACAGACAGACAGACAGACAGAGAGACAGACAGACAGACAGACAGATAGAGTGATAGACAGACAGACAGACAGACAGACAGAGAGACAGACAGACAGACAGACAGATAGAGTGATAGACAGACAGACAGACAGACAGACAGAGAGACAGACAGACAGACAGACAGATAGAGTGATAGACAGACAGACAGACAGACAGACAGAGAGACAGACAGACAGACAGACAGATAGAGTGATAGACAGACAGACAGACAGACAGACAGAGAGACAGACAGACAGACAGACAGATAGAGTGATAGACAGACAGACAGACAGACAGACAGAGAGACAGACAGACAGACAGACAGATAGAGTGATAGACAGACAGACAGACAGACAGACAGAGAGACAGACAGACAGACAGACAGATAGAGTGATAGACAGACAGACAGACAGACAGACAGAGAGACAGACAGACAGACAGACAGATAGAGTGATAGACAGACAGACAGACAGACAGACAGAGAGACAGACAGACAGACAGACAGATAGATAGATAGATAGATAGATATTTTTAAAAACATTTAATATAGGCCTACATTTGTCTATTTGGATGGAAATAAAAAAATAGTATAAATGAAAATAGTTCTGTAATAAAAAGAAATATAATAAATAAATCAATAAATAAATAAACCAATAAAATAAAACTATATATATATATAGGCTATATATATATATATATA